GTTGAATCTGACGTGACATGTTCGTATGAACCCTTTGTACGAACAAAAGTAAGACAAATTTAGGATAAGAATACGAACATGTTCCTGCATGAGGCCCAATGTCTTTACTAACAGCACACAACAGGCTACAGTGTCTTCAAAGTTTTCATCCCTCCTGAACGTTACACTTTTTTGTCACATTATGACCACAAGTTTTCAAAACATTTTACAGGGACTTCATGTGAAATACCAACACAAAGTGGTGAACACTAGTGAAGTGGAAGTGCACATTAGTGATCAAACAGCATCATGAAGACCAAGGAGCACAGCAGCAGCCAGGTCAGGGATAACACTGCTGACAAGTTTAAAGCAGGGTTAGATTATAAAACACACAGATCTGTTTAATCTGTGTGAAAACACAAAGATACAAACTGCTGTGAGTTGGAAACTAAACCCAGCACACCCCCCTGAACACACCATCTCACTCTGAGTCACACAGTAAACACAGGTTGTGTAATATTTGTGGTATTTTTATGTCTTATAGCTTTAGTTACCTGGTTGTAAATATACACAAGTGTAAACAGTTTAAGTGAAATAACCAGACATTTGTGCAATTACTTTGTCAGTTTATTTTCACCTGAAACGCAGTCTGAGCTGTAATGGGTTAGACCAAATGATGTTCATGTGTTAGAATGGACCAAAACCTGCACCCAGTCTGAACTGTCACAACTTTCAGCCTCGACAGCTGCAAGGGCTCATGCCTAATACAAATTATTGACTCAAAAAGGTTTTATTATGGGGTGCCGTTTGTTAAGTTACACAGTCAAAAATTACCACCAATATTTGTGTTTTATTTAGCCTTTTATAAGAAACAAAGAAAAGATTTATTTTTCAAAGTCAGTTTTTCACCATATGATTCATACATTTATAAATGTCATAATTTATAAACTAATTATTTAACTTACAAATTAAATACTTAGTTAACAAGCTAAATATTTAACTTGTGACTTAAATATTTAGTTTTGAGCTAAATGTTTAGCTTACAACTTAAATATTTAGCTAGCTACCTAAATATTTAATCTGCTAGCTAAATGTTTAAGTAGCTACCTAAATATTTAGGTTGCAACTTAAATATTTAAGTGAAATATTTAGGTAGCTAGCCAATAGGGGTGCAAAGATACAGGAAATTCACGGTTTGGTTCGGTTCGATGTTTTTTCGATACAAAAAAGATAAATTTCCATGCCCCCTTTAACTTGTAATTTATTCATATTAATTATGAACATTTGTTTAACCTCAAAAGTACAGTTTTTTAATTAAATGTTGCTGAAACAGCAAGTTTCTCAGTGGATCTGCACTCAGAAATGCAGCCTAGGTGGAGTAGTCGAACACAGATCCACTGATCCTTTAACACAGAGCATCTTCAGAAGACAAGTTGATAAAGTAAAATTTTAAAATCTGTATTGTTCAATACAGCACAGTTTGATACGGTTCGATATGGGTACATGCATTGTTGCACCCCTACTAGCTAAATATTTAATGTGCAAGCTAAATATTTAGCTCAAAACTACATATTTAAGTCACAAGTTAAATATTTAGGATTTGTAAGTTAAATATTTACTTTATAAACTATAACATTAATAAATGTATGAATCCTATGGTGAAAAACTGACTTTGAAAAATAAATCTGTTCTTTTTTTCTTATAAAAGTCTAAATAAAACCAAAATATTGGTGGTAATTTTTGACTGTGTAACTTTACAAACGACACCCCATAATTAATACGTCTGCACACAGCACTTCTTAGGTTTTTGTGAAGATTTATGAAAACCATGATTTCTTTTCTTCCACTTTACAATAATTCTATATTTTGTGTTGGTCACATACAATCAAAGTCAAATATAAGTTTCTGCTTTTGCTTTTGTATCTGGGATTTTGACCAAAGCTGAATGCTGGAATGAAGACGGAACAATGAATGGATAGGTCTGCCTTTTCACTACGGCAGACCGGACCAACTTACTGTGAACGTGATCCGGACTCTAACTCAGAACCAACATGGTTGCTGATTGTTTTCAGGTCTAAACTGGTGACATTTTGAATTGTCCCGTTCTTTTGAACACAACTCTTTAGTCCGTCCTTCATCTGTCTAATCAAACCCATTCATTCTCTCACCTTTCCTCACCAAACCACTCTCATGCTTTCATTCTTGTTCATGTCAGAGCTTCTCAAAGTTAACTCGAACATTCTCTGCTGTAATCCAGGGGCCTGAGCTCCTAACTCAGGGAAAATCCCAGATTAAAGCCGACGTGTGTGTGTGAATTCTCTGTAAACAAAATGTCCTGATGCATCTCAGTAATCCAGGTAAAAAATCAAAAAGAAAAAAAAACTGTATAGGTCTTCTGGACAGGTTCTTCTCTAATGAAACGTTTCATCTCTCCTCCAAGAGACTTCTTCAGTCTGAGAGTTTCAGGCAAAATTCAGGCTTTTAAGCACTGCCTCCATGTGACTGATACTCACATCACATGGCTATCGTTGACACCTAATTAACACCTATTGTTAACAGGGGGTGGAGTGATACTGGCAATAGCCGCGCTGTAGGAGGGGGACAACTGAAAACGGAGGCCTCCACCTCTGTTTAATGATGGACGGTCTTTCTTCACAAAAATGGCTTCTTGCAATGGCTTCTCCAATGCACAAACAGAGCAATGTTGTATATGCTGTTAAGTGCCAGGAGGACTGCGACCAGTTATACATCGGGGAAACAAAGCAGCCACTGTTCAAAAGAATGTCCCAACACAGACGAGCTACATCTAATGGCCAGAACTCTGCAGTTTTCACTCATTTACAGGCCAGCGGTCACTCTTTCAGAGATGAGGATGTTCTCATTCTTGATAGAGAGGAACGATGGTTTGAGAGGAGTAAAAGAAGCCATTTTGTGAAGAAAGACCGTCCATCATTAAACAGAGGTGGAGGCCTCCGTTTTCAGTTGTCCCCCTCCTACAGCGCGGCTATTGCCAGTATCACTCCACCCCCTGTTAACAATAGGTGTTAATTAGGTGTCAACGATAGCCATGTGATGTGAGTATCAGTCACATGGAGGCAGTGCTTAAAAGCCTGAATTTTGCCTGAAACTCTCAGACTGAAGAAGTCTCTTGGAGGAGAGACGAAACGTTTCATTAGAGAAGAACCTGTCCAGAAGACCTATACAATTTTTTTCTTTTTGATTTTTTTTCTCTCTGTAAACAAGTCGACAACAGAACGGGGCGATGTGCCAGTCAGACATCTCTCCAAGTTGTCTCAGCTCCTGCCTTCAGGGATGATCTCAACACTGATGAGTCAGCTCAGACTGGGTCCAGTCTTAAAGAATCAAACATGATGGAACCAACAAGGGTTTTAAATAAGCACACAGAAAGCACAGAAGATAACAACAATGAAGAAAATCCTAAAGAAGCCAAGGCTCTGGTGAAGTCAGCGATGCCTCAGCTGCTTTTCTGTTCAGCCTGAGTCAGATTACACACACAGGCCCCGTGTGGCCCGTCAGCCATGTCCAATCAGAGATAAAGCAATAAAACTCCACAGAAATCCTCTGTAACTCTAAATGTGAGCATACCCGGGGCAGGATGAAACGCAGAGACCTGTGAAAACGGCGCCAAGTCGGCTCACAGATCCAGAGGTCCGAAGACGAATCCGGTGAAGGCCCAGAGAGAGTCCCCCCGCTGTCACACAAAGTCCACCACAGACCCACACTGGGTACGACAGACCGGGGCGTCGTGGAGCAGGACAGTCAGAAATAGACACACACACACACACACACACACACACTCTCTATAAGCAGCACAGCAGGGCTGACAGACGATTCTTCTATAAATATCTGAAGGCACAAGGTGGAGGAAGGGGAGAGCAGAAGCAGCAGCTAAAGAAACGTTGACTTTATTTGAATCAACCAACACTGCTCCTTTTCTGTTTACATTCAGATTTGACCTTCGTTTGCCCTCAAACATCAACTCATCTAACGTTTGTTCAGCCAGAGAGATAAAAGCAACTGAAGTCCCCAGAATTTGTCTTTCCTCAAACAGAGCATGTTTTATTTCATGTTTAATGGGGGCAGTGGTTTTAAGGAGCCCGTTCAGGACGTGGGGTTATTGGTAGAAAGAAAAAGGCCAGTTCTGATGTGGCCCAGGACTCTGCAGAACCTCCTCACATGTCTGAAGCTGTGGGAGCACTGGTTGTTCCTGACAGACCTGCACATGTGCAGATCTGTGTGCTGGGACTGACAGCTGCAGCTGAGGGAGAGGAGGAGGAGGAGGAGCGTACTGATATCCAGGAGTGGGAAGGAACGTTGTTTATACGCTGGTAATCAGCAGCACTCTGAGTTGATCTAATTCTACTTAAATATGCACCTTGTGCTGGTTTGAGCAGCTTTGGCTCAGACGTGTTTGTCTGACCTTTAACTGGGTCTGGTTCTTTGTAAGAGGTGTCATGGTGGTCCTCCAACAACCAGAGGTCCAGCCCCTCCATGTGGCCAAGTCACAGAGGTTCCCTTTGTCCTCAGTGAGTAGAGAGGAACACAAAAACATGACGATGCAACTGCTACCTGAAACACCTCTGTAGTTAATGGGTTTCGACAAAAAAGCCTGTTTCTATAAAAAATGTTGGTCAGTTTCAGTTTAACTGTCTCTACAGCAGTGGTTCCCAAACTTTTTATCTTCTGACCCACAAAATATTCGTGGCAAAAACTTGTGACCTCAAATATTACTGGTCTGAGTACACAAACTTTGTTAGTAACCCTAAAAACAAAGGCTACATAAATATAAATCCTTTTTAACACCACATATAGCTCAGTCTGCAGCCGAGCTCCCACCCCACAGAGCACCCCCGCCTCCTTCGTACAGCTCCACCAGACTTGCGGAAGGAGAAATATCTCATAAATGATTTCATTGAAAAACTTTAAAATGATCAATATTTAGCGTTTTCACAAAAGTAGCATTGATGTGTCTGTATAAGACAGGGGTCTACAACCTTTAAAATCAAAAGAGCCATTTCTGCTATGACGCACTAATAAAATGTGTCCAGAGCCACAAAACAAGCTACAACTGTGATTACCAACTGGTGGTCCATGGGCCTGTTCGAGGCCTTTTTGGGAACCTTTACGGCCAGTGGAGGTGACATAAAACTAAAAAATACGTTGTGAATTTTATTATTTATTACTATTTTTACACATCAGGACAAATGAAAAGACCATATCCATGTAAACAAGAAAAATACTGTATTTAGTTTATAATGAATTTCATAAAAACTAATACAAGTGAACTATTCAGACAAAATTTTTTCAAATTCTTATGTCGTCTTTGAATCCTTTAAAGGTAATTCTGACGGACTTCAGAGAAAGATTGTAGAAAGAAAATGGATTATTTAAGTAAACAGCATGAGCTAACATGTTTTACTTTTTGTATTAATTGTAATGATCACATATTTGCATACAAATTGATTTTGTTGTATGAAAAACAAAACAAAAATATTCTGTTATGTTTGGTCACATTTTCAAAGAGCCAATGTAGAGAGACCAAAGAGCCACATGTGGCCCCAGACCCGCAGTTTGCAGACCCCCGGTATAAGATGACAGGAAGATATTTTACTGAGCTGAAAAGACTTGTAAGAGCCTGTGTACTCGCTCTGGTTCTTCAGTAAATGTACTTTCCAGGGTTCAAACAAGGCTTATTTGAAGGTTTAAATGTATACTGAGCTGCCTTTTTAAAAAAATAAAATAAAATTAATATAGAATGTTGCTTCTAATTTTTTTTATAATAAAATACAACTCTTCTACAAAAGGTTGTAAACGGCATGAAGCATTGTTGTGAAGACGTGCTGAAGTGGGAGTGTCGCAAACGGTAGGAGGTTCTTAAAGTGACAGAGGGCATTTTCAAGGTGTTTAGATAGGCTATGATGGAAAGTCAAATTTATTTTTGATATAAACAGCATTTTTATTACTGAAGGTAAGTTACTTTATGGTGTACAATTAAACTATGTGTCTGGAAAACACTTACCCCCCCACCCCACACACACACATACACACAAAAATAAAATAAAAAATGTCATCTTACGCACACTAGTTGACTAGTGCGCATATTTCACATCTAGTCACCTATATGTGCTGATTATTTAAACGCATTTTTAAATGTTTACTAGTTAATTTGTACACAAGTCAATTACTAGCTTGGTCTACTAGTGTATTAAAGGGCCAATATTATGTGTTTCTCAGGCATATATTTACAGTGGTTTGCAAAAGTATTCATACCCCTTGAACTTTTCCATATTTTGTCACATTACAACCACAAACATAAATATATTTCACTGGAATTTAATGTGAAAGACTGATAGAGTTTTATTGGATTTATTAAACTTCTTAAGGTGTTTCAAATAAAGTCTTGAGG